ATCTTCTTAGTCTTCCTCCCCGGATCCCTCATTCTCGTCATTAGATATTTGATCATACGTCTTTGTAGTTGAGGTTAGGCGCAGTCGTTCCACACGAGTTATAGTAATGGGGTGACTCAAACGCTCTTCAACCTGAAATATTTCTGCTTCCATTTCAGCTTCAATGACTTTAAATACATTTCTTGGTTTTGTCTTGATAACTGTCCACTTATCTTCGTCTCCTTTGTCACTAAAAGGGTAGGGTATATAAACACTTGTTCTGTGATGACAAATAAAAAAAGGTCGTCAGTTTGAAGTCGAGAGTTGGGTTTGACAGCAATCAAGTTGTTTTGTTGACTATTACATTGTATTTGTTATCAAACGATATACAATTAAACAGTACAACAGTCGAGGGTCTGCTGTCATAATATCCAATCTCTAAATCTCTTGTAATATGACGTAATAGTCCGACTCTTTTTCGGCATTATACGTCTCCCCCATCGTACATACTCCTAAGTTATTGATCGCACGACCCTCACCATATTGTTTGGACTTAAGGGTGTAAACGAGCCGAGCCGAGCCCGAGCCTGACCAAGCTCGAGCTCGGCTCGTTTAATTTTGAGGAAGCTCGAGCTCGAGCTCGAGCTCGATTCGAGCCTTAAAATGAAGCTCGAGTTCGGCTCGTGAACAATTTAGTGGGCTCGCGAGCCTAATCGAGCCTAAACGAGCTTCTATATATATATATATATATATATATATATATATATATATATATATATATATATATATATATATATATATATGTTCGTTTAAGCTCGTTTAGGCTCGCGAGCCCATGAATTGAAGCTCGGCTCGAGCTCGTTTAATAAACGAGCCTCGTATTTAGGCTCGAGCTCGGCTCAGGCTCGTTTAATTCGATATCGAGTCGAGCTTTTAACGAGTCGATCCCGAGTAGCTCACGAGTAGCTCGGCTCACTTACACCCCTATTTGGACTAATTTCTTTTTTATTTTTGGACAACACCACCACAATCCTAATTTATTGTAAAAAATTTACACCCATCCCACCACTACCGGACTGGGTGATGGTGGTGGTGTTCTCAAAACTATGTTATCTTTCAAATATTTATAATAAATTAGGAGATGTTGTTGGGTGTGATTTTCTTTGGGTTTTTTAATTTAAAATAATGAAGAAAACAATTAATAATAGTAATCCATTAAAATAATATTTATTAATATATAAATATTATATACTAAAAATAATTTTTATTACTAACATATTATCCAATAAAAAAGAATTAAACTAATAAAAAAAAGAAATTAATAATCTAATAAAGTAATATTTTTTAATATATTAATATAATATATTTAAATAATATTAATTAATATCTAATAATCCAATAAAAATAAATAATCTATTAAAAAAAAATTAACTAAATGTAATTAATAATCCGTAATATTTATTAATATATAAATCTTATATATTAAAAATGATATATATTAATATATTACTATAAAAAAGTAATATAATAAAATTAAATAAAAAAAGATTTAATGTATAATAATTGAATAAAATTAAAAAGAATAGATGCATAAATGATCCTTATATTTTGGTTGCAGAAATGGTACCTGAGGGTAAAATTATCATTTTGAAAAAGTTAACAACCAAGTTGTTAAAGTTAACATTTTTGGACCAAAAATGCATAAAGTATCCAAAATTGGACTACTTTTACACCACAAAACATTTTTGGACCAAAATCATATAATTTTGACAACCACAAGTACTATTTTTGCAATTTTGTATATATATATATATATATATATATATATATATATATATATATATATATATATATATATATATATATATAAGGGTGAGATCGGTTGAGAACTCATAGTTTTCCGAGAACCCGAGAACTAAAAGTGGAGCGTTAGATCAAAACTAATTCATTAAGGGCATGATCGTAATTTTACCAATCTCATTTAATGTTTAATTTTTTGTGTTATTGGAAATATTAATAGAAATGTCTAAAAAATTACATAATAAATCAAATTTTCAGATTTTTAAAAAAATAGTATTTTCAATTTTTTTTTAAAATGCAGATTTTTTAATTTTTTATAGAAAACATGAATTTATGAAAAAAATTGAATTTTTTTTTAAAAAAGTACATTTTTTTTAAAAGCATTTAAAAATCAACAAAATAAATAAATAAATATATAAATAAAAACTAGAATATTTAAAAAAATACTATAATTTTTTAACCAAGAAAATCAACATTGTAGGTACATATATGTATATTTTTACAAATGCATATATGCATATTTCATATATTATAATATTTGTAAGGAAATCATAAAAAACTCATTTTATCTACTAATCTATGAACACTAGGGGTGTTCGCGGTGCGGTTTGGTGCGGTTTAGAGTTGAAACCGCAAACCGCACCGCACATGCGGTTTGAGTTTTTTTGGAAACCGCAAACCGCACCAGAAAAGCTCTAAACCACATTATGTGGTGCGGTTTCATGCGGGCGGTTTGTGCGGTTTATGCGGTTTGATAAGTTGTTTCAATTTACATGTAAATCACATATAATTCATATGTGAGTTACATGTGAATCACATCTAATTCATATGTGAATTACATGTGATTCATATATGAATTACATATGAATCACATGTAATTCATATGTGATTTACATGTGAATTACAACGAACTTTTTATAAATTTAGATAAGTAAAAAAGAAACAACCATAGTTGTCCAGATTTAAGTTTTGAACTTATTAAGCCCATTAAGTAAAAAATAAAACTGCCCATGAGTTGTATTAAGAAAGAAAATAGAGATCAAAGATTCAAATATAATTTCAAAGTTATAAACCAGTTTTAAATAAGATATTAGAAGCCAAGAGAATACAACATGACTCACCATAAGTTGACTTTTAGTAGAAAGTCGTCCACCGCTACTCTCATCTAACAAAAATACCTTGTATAGTTAATTTGAAAGTTGAATTGAATATAATAAGTATCAAGTATCAAATAGTTGAATAAAAGACATTGTTTCGAAAACTTACTTGAAATGCCAATGTATTTCTCCAGTATGATAAGGTATTCCAACATTGTTTGTTGCTTGATTACTAGAACTCCAACTCTCTCTGAAAGATTTCAAACATAAGCCTGTAACTCTAACTATTTAAAAGGATCGTAAAAAATGGCCAGTTAAATTATTATTCTAAATAGATAGAAATATAAACAAAGAAGTCATTCATTATTCATATTTTTGTTTCAATGGTAAATTGATACAAATACCAAACCAGATCACCAGGATATCTTCCATTCCAATAAAAATATCACTTTTTGTAGGAACAAGCAACTTGAAGGTGGCATACAATGGTATGGTTGCTGAAATGTAAGTGTATTCACCAATGATTTAATTAAACTTTCCCTCGAATTTTCTCTGAGATATATAAACTGCATATCTAGAGAAATCAAGATAGCTTACATTCCAATTAAAATTGAATTTAAGATGGATAAATTAAAATTGCTCCACTTAAATTTTGTGTATCTTGACAGGTCCTACGAGAATCTTTCAGACGATTTAAGATGGCTCTATTGGTTTGGCTTCCATCTAAAAGCTACACCTTCTCACTTATCCATGGGAAAATTGGTGGCTATAGATATGAGCTATAGCAACTTGGAAGTATTTGAACTTCCCATGGTAAGGAATTCAGTATCCTCTTTTTGTGGCTTATCCGTGTAGCCTCTTAGTTTTTAATTGTCTTCATGTAGACATCTAGTGATACATAAATCATGTTACTTTTGTAGCAGCTTCTTCAATCACTGAAGATTCTAAATCTTAAAGACTCATATAATCTATTCGAAATCCGCAACTTATCCAAGATTCCTCATCTTGAGACTTTGATTCTACCAGACATGAAAAGATATTAGCGTTCAGGACACAGAGATGTTAGGTTGTGAATGACCTAATTGTCTTTTTTTCTTATTAAGTGTGGTCTAGAGTAAATAGTAAATGAAAATCAGTGTTTGTATTGTATGTTGAATGACAATGAATGACCATTATATCATCTATCAGGAATCATAGCTGAATGAAAAATAAATGACCATTAATTCACTATCAGATATTAGTCAGCCCCGGACCCCCGTTCGTTTAGGGGCTTCACCCCTAAATAACAGTGTACTTTGAATCTTGAAAAACTTGAACAAGTGTGCACTCCTACATCATCCTAACTTGTTCAATATTCAACAAGATCACTTTTGGTCAACAAATTTAATCCTATTACACTTAAATAATATTGATGATATAAAATCACCAACAATATATATATATATATATATATATATATATATATATATATATATATTCGATTTATGACTTTTTAATGACTTTAATTCATGCGAGATCAATCACGTGAAGTGAATAACAATCCTCCACATCAATGATGTTTATATAGCTTATATTCTTTAACTTTATTCTATTTTCATTTCAAAATTAGAAAATTATGCCTGCCATTTGCAATCATTTTAGATATTGCTAACAGAAAAATTATTTGTATTTATTAACTTCTAAAGTGAGATGTATGTGTTGTAAAATAATAAAAAACATAGTCATCACAGATATAAGAAATTTAATTTATTTTCATAGTTTTCTAGCCTTAAGCACACATCATCTTTAATGTAATATCTTTGTGAATTGGCGTTTTATTTGTAGGAAGTCTCAAATATTATTTATATGTTTTAACTAAAAAAAACAGTAATTGCAGTATATTATGTTGCAAGAAAAATGTACTATATGATAATTGATAATTTTTGTTAAGACACAATTTTTTTTGTCACCACCATGCAATAAGAATATTTACTATTTAGAGAATTAATTGATGAATTTAATATTGTTTATGAATAAAACAGAAGCATAATAGCTGAAAAATGGTTAACAATTATGGTAATTAAATCAAAAAAAGACAATTATAAACCTTCGTAAACCACAAGTCATGTGTTTGCTTGTACCAAAGAGAAGGAAAAAAGGGCTCCACTTGACTCAGTCACACTCACACCTAGAGGCACAGCTGTGGGCCTTCACTAACATGGTTGAGTGTCGGTGCTACAAAAAAGATCCGCATATACAATAGCCACAGCACTTGTCATTTGATATGAAAGATTAGGGTTTATCTTTCTTTATTCGTTTTTAATCATTGAACGTTTTAGGTATGGTTTTTCATTTACAGAAAAGACTATGATGATCATGATAGATGATACTCATAAATAATAACTGCGGTAGATTTCATTTGATCAAAATCTAGACTTCCAATCTCATCTCCTCTCAACTACCCTGTCGGCATTTGGGATTTTGTATATTTAATCTCTGATACAAAAGATACCATTTGGAATACAATATCAATATATTATAGCCAAGAAGCACCTCTCTCTTCTCTCTCCGTCTTTATCTTTTGGGGTTTGGGCGTTGTGGTCTATATTATAAGAGGTATTCTTTTAGTCTTGCACAAGCACAGCAAGCAGAAGCAAGCTCTATTTTCATGGTGGCTGCATTAGTATTAGAACTAGAATTAGAATAAATATTACAGCAGAAGCCAAAAGAAGTGGATCTGAGGCAAAATGGGGATAGATCCGAGGCAGATCGTCGCAGGGGTGCTTACAGTCACCATGTTTCTAATGCTTGGTAACATGATTAAGCGCGATCATTTTGATGCTCCCATTTCTCACCATGTATGCTTCTTTCTTTCACTCTTGCTTGCTTATACACTGTATACACATTCGTAATCAACCATTGAATCCATTCCTTATACATTCTGATCCATTTATTTGCTAATTCGCTTCACTATATCTCTAACATCCTTCTGCTCTTGGATCTAAAAAGTTCAGATTCTAGTGTACTCCTTTTCTCATTCATGATAATTGAGGAGATTGCCTTTTTGTTATAGGTGAACCACGCCGGATCGACTCAACATTTTGATGACAATAATGATTCGGAGCAGAGCTTTGCACTTAGCAATGGTGGCGATGGCCCTTGGAAGGAGGAATCCGGTGGACTCAAGCGTTGTTGGTCTAAGCCAGACTCAGGTCAGTATAGAACAGACTATAACTAATTCAAACTTATGTTAATTTCGTGTCTGTTTATAACTTTCCTTCAAATTATGCAGAAGAGGTGGAAGAATCCAAAGGATTTGTCACTTTCTCCTTAACCAATGGACCTGAATATCATGTCTCCCAGGTATGTTGAGTTGACTTCATCTTGTTTCTTTCCCTCCTTTCTGGATCTCTATCTGGTCTAATGTTTGACCATGGCGGATTGTCAAACTCAGATTGCTGATGCAGTGGTAGTCGCAAGATACCTAAAGGCAAATCTTGTAGTTCCTGACATTAGAGGAAGCGAACCTGGTGATTGGAGGTTACTCATTTACTCCTCATATTCCACATTTCCACTTACTATTTAAAGCTAGCATTTTTGTTGTTATTAAGTATTAACTCACTCACTTGATGCATCTTCCAGAAACTTTGGAGACATTTATGACATTGAGAAGTTTGTAAATAGCCTGGATGGAGTGGTGAAAGTAGTGAAAACCCAACCTTCAGAGTTATCATCAAAGAATCTTGCTGTTCTAAGGGTTCCTAATCGAGTCACTGAAGACTACATTGCAGAAAACATTGAACCTGCTTTTAGAAGCAAGGGAAATGTAAGGATAGCAACATACTTCCCTTCTGTCAACATGAAAAAGTCCAAAATCGAACAAGATAACTCAATCGGATGCTTGGCCACATATGGAACACTTGAGCTTCAACCAGATGTTCAGGAAGTGGTTGACTCAATGGTTGACCGACTTAAAACCCTAAGTCGCAAATCAGATGGACAATTTGTAGCAGTTGACTTGAGGCTTGACATGTTAGACCACAAGGGGTTGTCAAGGAAATAGTGCTGGATCAAAGAAATGTTATAGTCCACAAGAGATTGCATTGTTTTTAAGAAAACTTGGTTTTGATAAGGACACTGCTATATATCTGACTCAATCAAGATGGGATAGCAGCCTTGATGCTTTAAAAGATCTCTTCCCCAAATCTTACACAAAGGTGAGATACAATATTTGAATTTTTTTGATTTGATTTGAATTAGATTTGAGTGAGATTGATTGATTGATTGATTGTTTGATTTCAGGAGGGAATAATGCCAATGGACAAGAAGTCAAAGTTTCTTGAATCAGAATATGAGAAGGTGATTGACTTCTACATATGTGCACAGAGTGATGTATTTGTTCCAGCAATCTCAGGTTTGTTTTATGCAAATGTTGCTGGAAAAAGAATAGCAACAGGAAAGACTCAAATACTTGTTCCTGCAAATATTCCTCCTGCTTCTTCTGCTTCTGTTGCCAATTATGTCTCACGTTATGTTTCAAAGAAGAATCACATGGCCTATTCATGTTTCTGCTAGTTTGATTTTTTTTTCTTCTTCTTCTTCTTCTTAAAATATAGTGTTCAAATGTGATTGTCTTCAATTTATGTAATGTAACTATAACTATCTTCTTCTTTTTTTTTCCTTACATTCAAACACTTTTTTGTGTGTGCAAGTGTTTTCACACCTTTGTATTTCTTTTTTCTCCTTGATATTAAAATTTATCGCCTAGTGTTCTTTAACATAATTGTTTCTACATGAAGAAATGAAATAAAATAAAATGAATGAAATTCAGCGGTTACGAGAAGCAATGCAGTGTTGATATGGTTTGCTGAAGACTCTTGCCAATGGAGTCTCTGGAACTGGAATCAGTTTTCCAGCAATTGCAAGAGGCCAACTGTAAGATCATAATCATTAATAATGTTAATTATTTACTTCTTTATTCAACCATGTTAATGATTAATAAAAAACACAGAACTAACCTGAAAATTCCAATACCAATAGAGAGAATCCATAGATTCAAACTAAGTCTAACTGTTGATGTGAACTTTCCTAGGAACTGAATAATCATGACCTGTTTTGTTTGCAACAACAATTACCATACTCAAAATTCTGCACTTGTATATGTAAATGTAATTCACAATTACCTGAAGAATGAAGGTTGTTCCTACTATGCCCATAAAAAGATAATTTTTAGTCACTCCAGAAAATACATTCATTTCATCTGGTTTTCGAGCATTGAGCTCGTTGAATATCTGTAATTACAAACCGGATTTGGACATTAACAGCTAATTTAAATGGAATACACAGAGTAATAAATGAAGTGAGCTGTACTATTTATTTAGTCATTTAAAGGAGAGAGTTGTCACATGGTCCAAGTGCTTTTAAGAAAATATCAGCCATTTTTTTTGGTATATCATAGTCACTGAGATTTAGTTAAAATTAAAACGTGATTGGCCTACATCCACATAAATGGCAAGAGAAAAGATGGAGTGGGCTCCATTCCTATAAAAGGGATCAATTCTTTGGTTTTAAAGTGTACTGGTCAAATATACTTTTAATTTCTTTCTTCTCTTACGTCAGAGTGTAGATATGTGAGTCAAACCTTTGGAGACCAAGTGTAATTGGGGTTGGAATTTTTCTCAGGTTTTGGAGTTTTCCACGTATATTTTGTGTTCAAATTTCCTTATTTTATTTTTCATGGTCGGGTTGTTGGGAATCTTTGAGCTCATTTCCCAACAATAACCAAAATGAAGTTGGATAAATCATAAACGCCTTACTTGACATAGGACAAATCCATTGAATATCAAAGTATTCTTCACAGCATTTCCATGTTCATTGTTCTTTAACTTAAGAATGGCTAGACCACGGAAGTTGAAGACAAGAAGAACTGCAACTTGATATAAAGCCTGTCAAATCCATAGCACATTTTCATCATTGTAATGAAGAAAGATGATCATAATATCAAAATGGTAGATATTATGATAATTGTACCTGTATAATCAAGTTCCTCCACATGATATTCGTCACAAGAGGTTCCCTGAGGAAAAAAGAGAGTCAACATCATGTATGTATGTATGTATGTATGTATGTATGTATGAATACCTTCGGCCAACAGGAGATCTATGCATAAGATGATCAGTTGGAGGTTCAGTGGCCAATGCCAAAGCTCCAAGGGTGTCCATGATGAGATTAACCCAAAGAAGCTGCACAGTGTTTAAAGGTACATCTCCAGAAGAAATTGCTGCTACAACATTTATCACAAGTGCTGCAACATTAACTGTAAGCTGGAACTGGATAAATTTCTGAATATTTGCATAAACAGACCGGCCCCACCGAACAACCTATATATGAAATATAATGATCAACACAAAAGTTCAAAAAATAAAAAACAAGAAATTCAAACTTTTGCACACACCTTTACAACTGAAGCAAAATTATCATCCAAAATGATGATGTCGGAGCTTTCTTTTGCAACTTCAGTTCCTTGAATGCCCATGGCAAGACCTATATCAGCCTGACATATATATATATATATATATATATATATATATATATACAAAAAACAAAAAAAAGGTAAATAAATATAAAAACATGTATTAAAAAAAAACAAGATAAATTATTAAATTTAAACCTCATGAAGTGCAGGGGCATCATTCGTTCCATCTCCAGTAACAGCAACAACTTCCCCAAGCTTACGAAGTGTTTGCACAAGTAATAGTTTATCACTAGGGGAAGATCTTCCCATTACCTATATATATATATAATAATAATAAATCCACATACATATATCAAAATTAACCACTTTAATCATTGATTATTATTATAACAAGTATCAAAATCTTAAAACACACCGATATATGCTTGGAAGTATATTCTCTTTCTTTCTCTGAATACTCACGAAATGTCTTTCCTTCAATAACATTTGGCTCTGTTGCATCTTCACCTGAATCAAGTATTCCACACTCCATGGCAATTGCTTTTGCTGTTTGAATATTATCCCCAGTCACCATCCGAACCTATAATTAATACATTATACATATATATAATTTCTACAGATAAATCACTTGTCTTTTTTTTCATTCTTATTTAGAAACATAAAATACGTGTGAGAAACCAAAGCCTAACCTTCACACCAGCATCTGTACATAACTTTACTGCATTTCTTACACCTACTCGAGGAGGATCCTGCACAAGATAAACTCAGTAAAAATAATACAAAAAATATCGGTTTAATTTTGTAAAAACAGTGAAGATATGATGGGTACCTTTATACCCACAATAGAAAGTAGAACAAGATCATCTTCAGGTAAATTCCATTCTGCTAGCTGTTCTTCATCCACAGGAACACCATCTACATGATAGTTTCTGTAAGCAATTGCAACACACCTCAAGCTTCTTGCAGCCATCTCCTCAATAGCTTTTTTAAAATATTCCTGTAAAAAAATTTATCTCAAAATGTGTGTTGTAAAGAATTATCTGAATATAGTCAACTACCATATCATTGTCAATGGACTGCAAGGAACCATCTGTGTCAACATATTCTTTACATGAAGCCAACACTATTTCAGCTGCTCCCTTCCAATGTATACGAACTTGAGAGTCCCCCTGTGTTGTTGATCATAAATCATAAGAAATTAAATTTATTTTTTAAACTCTAAATAAACAAAATCACTCACCCCTTGTAATACAACGCCACCTCGTTTTTTTGTTGAGTTAAAAGGAGAGACGTGTAGGAGGGTGGATTGATTTCTGACAACATCAAAGTTCATCCCAATCTGCAATGTGAAGTCATTTTCATTTATATAAACTTAAAACACACACTAGCTCACACATAGATAAAACTTAATACAAAACATGCAAATAGAACCTTGACACCCCATTGGAGGATAGCCTTTTCTGTTGGAGATCCAGAAACTTCTATACATGCACCATCCTATCAACAAACAAATATGATAATATTATATTAATATTAATAAATAAATAAAGAGCTACACAAACAAATGACAAGATTTATAGTACCTTAGAGGAGAAAACACTGCCAGCTGTATTCTGTGCAATTCCCTCATTTAACAAAGAGGAAACAGTCGAATGATATTGCAAGCCATCTTCAGGAGGGTCGATTTTCTTTTGTCCCACATATGCCTCAACTACAGTCATCTGTGACATGTGACATGTAACATTTACTTTTAAATAATTATATAAACATTAGGATTATGTTAAATAACATAAAATTTAAAGTAACCTGATTTAGTGTTAATGTTCCAGTTTTATCACTGCAGATAGTAGTTGCAGACCCCATAGTTTCACAAGCTGAGAGTCTACGCACCAATGCCTTATCTGCCATCATCTTCTTCATCGAGTATGCTAACCTGTAAATTCAAAAAAATTTAAATCAAAATCCAAAATAACTTATTTGTAAAATTAATTACACTCACGTCAGTGTTACAGCCAATGGAAGCCCTTCAGGAACTGCAACAACCACAATGGTGACCTAAATGCTTCAGCCATTAGTTAAGAACACAAAAGGATCCGAGATAATGTACATATATAGATAGATGCATAAGAAACTTACTGCAGCAGTGAAAATTTTTATGGCATCATCAACTGCTTCACTAACACTGGTCTTTCCATGGACAAACTGGATAGTTCCATCAGGGTTTCTTGAGTTACCAGTGAAGAACCTGAACAACAGCTTTCAATAATTAGAAAAAACTAAAAGAAAAGTATATAGTCACAATCACAAAATGTAAGAAAATAGATTTTAATTACCTAAACAAAAGGACACCAAGTACAAGTAATGCTACTGCAAGCCCAACTATACCTATAAATGTTGCAACACCATTCAAGCGTACCTATCAACCATCATTATTCATTCGTATCTGACTTCATTGATGGAATATAAATTATATAATACAAATAGTGATAAGAAAAAATGAGATATATATTTAAACCTGTAATGGAGTTTCTTCACCAGTGTCTTCTGATATGCTTGCCATTAATAGTCCCCATTCTGTATTTATGCCCACACCAGTTACCATCATGGTTCCTGCACCATCTGCCACCTTGCAGCCAGACATCAGAAAAGGTGTTTTTTGGTCCTTGTGTGCCTAAAAAGTGAGATGAAATATAAGAAAGAATTCAATTTATTTTTTTTTTAATTTAAAAAGGAGGTCTAACCAGCTTACAATCTTGCTTTCCCCAGTCATGCTGGATTCATCAATGGCTAGAGAGTGACCTTTTATTAGGAGTCCATCAGCAGGGACCTGTAAGAAACATGGAAATCCAACAATTAATAAAGAGTCAAACAAGTCAAAAGTATCTTAAAAACTTTATGAAAATTTATTAGCCTACCTGATCACCTATTTTTAGAGGTATTACATCACCGACAACTATATCATATATTGAAATCTTCTCTCTTCTTCCATCTCTAGTTATCTGCTTGAATTTGCATATGTTAAGAAGACAACTAAAGGTAGAATAATAATAATAATATCTCACTCATTAACGTAACACACAAACCTCTATCTGTATATTTCTCTTTTCCTCATTTAGATTCTGAAACTGCAGGGATTGTCTGTAATCACTGGTTGCTATTACAGTTTACAGAAACAACAATATATGTGAGAAAGTACATTTTAGATATCATAACCAATGGAAAGAAAAAAAAAAAAAAACTGCCTCACCTGTCACAAAAATAACCAAAAGAACAGCAAATGTGATGCTTCCTCCATCATACCATCCTTCTTCAATACCCTACAGAAGGAAATTAACACAACTCTTCAAATAAAAACTGAAACAAATAGGAGTCATAATGATCACAAACTCCTGAATGACTATATATATGAGAAAGTATTAATTCAAACTTGCCTCTGTCTTTATTCCTAGCACCAGTGATGCTGCAGCAGCTACTATCAATATAATAAGTGTCAAATCTTGCCAAGCTTCCCAGAGAAACATCTGTACGTGGTCAACATAATTAACATAGCCATGGTGATCAGCTGCAGCTGTAAATAAAAGCAAAGAAGAAATAATTTTTGTATAGATATAACATACACAGAAGCTTCTTCCTTTTTTCACAGGATAAGTATTAGATCCAAAGGCGTTTCTCCTGTTTCTTAATTCATCTTCATGTCTTTGTACTCCTCTGTCCAGATTGGTTTTCAACATCTCAGATAACCCTTGGACCTGAAAATATATATAAGTATAGATATAAAAAAGAGGTTTTTGATATTGATAGTGAAGGAAAAATATGTTTGATAAGCTAAGTAAGTAACTTGCCCCTCCATATTGATGAAGAGAAGTTAGATTATGGTCCCTGGTCATGGAAACAAGTTGCTCGAGTGAAATACCATAACCACAACTTGGAGATGCAGGAATCACAGTGGGCCCAAGCACTATATGTATGAAGGGGAAATAGAGTGAAATTAATTATATATAGATTAATGTAGCTAGGTCAACATAAGAAGGGATTATATTTATATCAGAAGGGAAGTTGAGGGACCAAATACCAACTGCTTGTTCTCCAGCCAATTTGAATAGCAATGCAGCCTAACAGAAGGTGATCAGATGTTAACTAAGAGGTGATATATATATATATATATATATATATATATATATATATATATATATATATATATATATATATATATATATATATATAACCAAACTTGGGATTGGGAAGGTATATATTTACAAAAATTATGGACAAGATTACCCTTATGACTTGAGCATGTGACCTGATCATCCTTCTCCTTTTTTCCTGCTCTTCATTCTTTCTCAAGTCCAATGTGTATCGGAAGCGACGTGAAGCATTAAGCACAAGGGCAGCTTGCTGTATATATAGGACAATAAATTACAATGAGTTCAAAATCCCACTTCAATTACTAAACCTATATCCAGTAGTTGTAATCTCAGTATTTCAGCATATCACTCCACATTGATCTGAATACTCACACTCTCACAATCACATGTACATCACTTTCAGATCCAAAAAGGAAAGATAACTAGATTAGATGTTATTAAGTTATTACCGATGTTAAAAAGTTTGACCTTTCAAGAGGTAAATAAACTCAAATCGCAATACAGTAGATAGGAATGATTAAGATATGTACATGTTAGGTAAATATTTTGTCAGTTTGTCAAGATTGTGGTTGCATGTGCATCGTTTTGAAGTGAGGATATATATATCCCGATCAGCAATGGAACACAAAATGTAATCTTTTTTAAGATGAATGACGATTGGAAAAAGCTTAATTACGTACCCTCCAGCGTCTGAGAGACTCAGTGGACGCTTTCTTGGTGGTGGTGATGTCGAAAGGATCGTCAAAATCGTCATCGGGGGCGTCGTTAGGAGGAAGAACGCCAGTTTCGATGTCGGGAGGAGGAGTGTTGGATGAAGAAGAGGCGTTGGTTCCGCTTGTAGTCATTGATATCTGATAATGCGAGTGTAGGTTGGCTTTTGAAAAACAAAGACACACAGTGATGTGATGTAGATAGAGGTAGAGAGCAAAGGAGATGATTCTGAGAAGTGACGATGGGTTATGATGAGAGTGATATGGAAAAAAGAAAGTAAGGAGAGGACAACCGCCATCTTAGCGGCTTTTTGTTTTTTCTACTTATTACGCGTTACTAATAATAGTTAGTTTACAGTGTGTGTGTGTGCGCTCTTGCTGTACACTGTCAAACAAAACCACGTGGCACCTTATAACCACCTCATACTCATATCGTTCAAATCAAATGTACAAAAATTCGTTTATAGCAAACCCAATACTCAAATAAGTACACCCATTCATGTCGTCTTGTTTCTTTTTTAGAAATGCGAAGTAGGTTTTGATTGCTTTATTTTTCAAACATAGTGACAAAATCTGCAAGATGGAGCTCAATTAAAACAAACATCAAGTGATATTAATCCATTAATTTTGTTAGTTTGTGGAAATACCCGTTAGGATTAGCGATGTATTGTTTTGGTATAAATAATACATCGATTTACATAATGGACGCTATGATATACAAGCAGTGACGAATCTAGAACAAAATTTCACGTGGTTTCCAAATTAAGTGAAGCCGATAAAAAAAATCAACAACACTTGTGGGGGGTCGGGTCGTGTACGATTTAATGAAATATAACTGAAAAAACCGATCTGGCACCACCAATTAAAATTTTTTAAAAAACCAACTGAAATATAACTGAAAAAACCGAACGAGTTAATTATTAGTGCATTGATACCTTATTGTTTGATAAAAACTATATATTATATTTAACTCTAAAATAGAAGACCTACCTTGAGTTTTTTTTTAAATATCTTAAAAAACCATTTTAAAAAGAAAAAAAAAAGTTACAAGGGACAATTGTGCGGTTAAATATATTATAAATGAAATTGAAATTTTAGGTAGGTTAAGACCTACCTTCTTCCTTATTAGATACGCCACTGTATACAAGATGTATCAAAACAAAAATAAAATATAATACTTAATACCACCCTGAGTTTTAGAGGTTCTAGAATGTTTTAACTATCGTAAAAAGTCTAGAAATAGTTGTGTAGTCCCTTAGTAATAAATATATTTGCAAACTGGTGAGTGGATGGAACATGCAAGCACATGCCCAAGTGCAACAATATGTCCAATAAAATGTAAATTTATTTTCATATGTTTGGTTTTAAATTGGGTTAGATGCAAGGTACATGCATGACACCGATATTATCACAACACAGACTGTGGTACAAAATAAAGGACAAGATGGATTGAGTAAAAGTTTGTGTAGCCATTCAGCTTCAACGACATTTGCTACTCCTAGTACTACTAAGCTTCAATGTTAGAATGGGAGACAACATGTTGTTGCTTGCATGTTTAACAAATGAAGCAGATGCAAAAATAAACTACAACACTTAACATGTTTAACAAATGAAGTAATTGTAAAAGATGACATATTGCATGCACATGCAGTGCTTCAAGGTTTACCACAAAGTAAATAATGACCCTCTTATCCGCTTCAAGTATACATATAACTATAAAATATAAAAAATACAATAATTCCCCCTCTCCCGGTCCTACATAGAGGGGTAATGCTGTATCTACCCTGTATCACATTCAAAAAAAATATATATATATGGAGAAAAAAAGTACATCTCTTTTACAATATATTAAAAATAACAACATATGTGTTATGTTGTTCTGAAATTCCCTATGGCTTGTCAAAACGACCTTCTTTCCTAGCACGTATCCTAATATTATTAGATGATGTAGATGTACCCTGTTTGGAATTGGAGACTTCTGGTGAATCAACACGTGTCACAATTCTTAGTGGGTGGGCTTCTGTGTTGAAAACCCATTCATCTAAAGATATCACTGAAGGCGGAGAGAATAAAAGATACAAATATTTCAGTGTTTCTGCAAGAAAGAAACTCTGCATCATATTGTCTTTCACACCTGTATTCACCTGCAAAAATAAACACAACAAAATCAAACAAATAACAATCGTATACAATATAAATCTGAGTGTAATTAATTAACGACTTACATCCTTCAATCCAACATATCCAGATTCCACACGGGAATTCTTTTCAAATGCTTGAAATATGTCCCAACCCCATTCTTGGTATGTCTTATTACCAGTCAAACGCCACAAATAGAAGAGTGATTCAACTGTTTCTGGCCTCAATATGTTCCATGATGTGCCCACACTCATGTCCTGTAACTTTAAACATTTAATAAAGTTAAATAAATACCTCCTAAAAATAAAAACACATCATCATGTGAAATTACTAACCTGCCCTGAATGGAAGAAGTAGTTTTCTCCAGCCAACTTTGTTGGTGTGGACTGATAAAAGTTATAGCATGTCCAAGCAAGCTGCAAATAATACACATCAAAATTATTAGCAACTAAAAAAACAACAAAAATAACACAACAAAATAACAGACCTCTTCTGCCAAATTCAGGAACTTTGAGGATTCATCAGGACCATAACCAGATGATCCTAATGCTATCATTCCTGGAGCAAAGCACGCCAGCTCATCCATCTGAAAATGTTTTCAACAAATTATAATCTCTAACTGATTCTCAAACTCAAACAATGAAATCTTCATCTTCACTCTTACCTTATCAATTAAAGAGCTTCCTATCTTCTCTGATATATATGCAAAAGATGATGGTTCGGTTCTTCGAACCAAGGTTAATAAACCTTTCATTGATGTCTCCCACATGTCTCTGTTTTAATAACTCATTAGTTTGTTTTATATATATATATATATATATATATATATATATATATATATATATATATTATATACAACTACAGTTGAAATTTTATCTAGAATTACAATTACTAACTCACCTATAAGGCTTCACAGCTGCAGTTTTGTTTCCTTGTATCCACACTTTAAGTAAATACTCATAGAAACTGCACAAAGTTACATTTTCACAAAACTTAATATATTGAAGATCATAAGAAAACAATTAATATAAAGAATATTATTAAGTACCTGTCCCCCATGGCCCCAAAAGTAATGGTGGAGTATGATGTTGTCCCTTTGTGTGGGTTTATATAGATGGGAAGCAATCCATCAGCAGGGAATGTCTTATTCAACTCACGAATAACATTCTCTACCTGAAGTAAATGTAAATCATCACCATATGTTGTCAAAAATTCCAATAATATTCTTGTGTATATATATATATATATATATATATATAATGATAATACATGAAAACAAATACCTTTTGTTGATACTTTGGGTCTCCTGTTCTTTGGCTTAGTGCTATGAACTCCAGCTGCTCTGTGCCTGAATCTGCTAGGATACTGTCACCCTGAGAAAAGAGAAGGAAATGACTAAAATGCCCTCTTGTCTTGTCCTAAATATAATATGCATAACACATGTCAATGGATGAATGTTGGAACTTACCCCAGTCCAACCAGGGTTATGTGGATTACCATTAACCAAGTTGATAATGTTGTAGGGGATGCCAGAAGGAGTATCCCATGCAGGGAGCAACCTATCAGCTATGTCTTTCGCCTTTTCAAGAAAAACATGCTCCCCAGATAGATCATATGCACTCAGGAGCCCACCTACAACTCTGTTGAAAAACAAAGGGTTAGATAGTTCAAAGTTGAAACAATTAGCTGCACCTCATCTTACAAAAATAAAGTCAAGAAATTGCCTGAATTCAAGGCAATATTATAAACAAGAACAATATATTAAACCTTACAAAGCAACCTTATGGTTGTTTCAAACACACTGGCATCATAGTTCTTATTGAAGTCCAAAGAATTTGTAATCCACCTGTCATACATTATCTTGTTAGACTCAATACAAGGAGCATATCTTATTGAAAGAGCTTTAAAGAACAGAGTTACTGAATCTTACTCTTTTGCCCTTTGGAACTCCTCATCAAGACCCATTATATATAATGTATCAAGAGAGTCAATTAAAGTCGCACCAAGACCACCAAAGCTATCAACACCATTCTTGGATTGTGGCTAGCCAAAAAAAAAAAAAAAAATTTTTTTGGAGGTTTTGCATTAAGAAAAGAAGGTAAACTCAAACTAACATAAAAGAGAATGGTATATATAAAGCCTAGAGATTATTGGATAACGCTTTTCTGTCAGAATTAGAAATGATGATGTACCTGAAGTTCATCATGGCCCCATGCATATTTTTCATATGATGTCCAAGCATGAACCATAGCATCTTTTACTTTTAGTCTTCGTTGATTCTCAATGGGATCAATTGGAAGATCATCAAGATTTTTGCTTGTTGTGTTGATCTTGTTAACTATGTTATCATCAGGCTTTAATTCTTCTAGCTGCAAGACGTCAATATAAGCAGTCAATGCATGATTATGTAACTGTAAACTGGAAAGCAATAAAAGGAATTCAAGAAAACAAAATCCAGTTACGAATATTTGAAGGGTGTATGGATCTTGAGAAGAAAATCACAACATGTTACCTGATTTTGCAACTGAAGCAGTTCTTCTTTTAACTTAAAGAGCTCATCCTGCCATTCAGTGGAAGTTTTTATATTAGCAACAAAGCAAGTAGGTTACAACTAACTAATCCATTTGAATTTAGGTCAATGCTAATGGCAACGAATTTTGGTAGCATGTTGCATACATTAAGTAACATAATTCCAGAAGTACTGTACATGTCGGTGGCACTTAAAGAGCATCTCAAATGCATTGCCTAATAAAGAGAAATGGGATTCGTGATAATGGAAAATTCCAGCTTTCTTTGTCCATATGATTATATCCCAGTTTGTGCTTACCAAAATTTGCATACCTATCGTCACAACATAGTTGGAAACAAGAAGTTGTGGGCAAAGAGACATGGAATTTTATATTCAGATGGCATACATGGTACTTTAATGGAGTAGAAGAAAGCACCCGATTTGATATCAAAGCTAAGGTAGTTCTTTTTTTTTTTTGGCAATAGAGAAAATGTATCTCTTCAAATGAGTTGAATTCAAATCACGATGCGTTTTTTTATATAAATAAATGGTGGCCCGGGGGAAGATCTTGACTCGTTTACATTAGAGAAAATTGATGCAGTACTTGTTTCGCTATAAAGAAGTAGATCTGACGACAAATGAACGGAATTCGAAACTTTTAAGGAGAAGATACATACATATATAATTATATATACACCATACCTCATGTTCTCGGACTAGAGTTTGGCGATCCCACACGAAGAAAGAGACAGAGACGAAGGCCATGAAGAGTAGAGCAAGACGTTTGGGTCGTTTCAAGTAATAGGCCGGATTCACGTACCTCCATGTCGTCGACGATGAGGACGACCTGGTCCTTGCCATTTTTTCTCTCTATCTCTTAACAATGCTCGGATTAGTTAAATAGAACCCTAACCTACAAGTGGTGTGAGAAAAGCAAAACAAATTCCGACTGCATGTTACAGGCTTAGGGCTGGTTAAAAAGAGAAGTGGGTGGAACAAATGGAAAGATGGATCTGGTTGGCAGCCTCTCCCGAATTCGGATGAATCTGTGTTGTCGCCGGAGGAAACGGAGCAAGGCGGAGATGGAGGAAAAGAAGACGACGACAATGAGGACAACGGAACACACCAATTCAATTGACTGATTACCCAATATTTTTTTATTCTTATATATGTACATGTACTTTTACTTTTTCTTATAGTATTTTTATATTGAAAAAACTGTTAATTTGGTCCTTATGGTTTGTTAATTTTGTAGTTATACTACCTGTGATTTTAAAATTGCAAATTTCATTTTTTTAAACATGTCTGTGGATTTTGATACCTGTTAAAATTGAAAATATTATTTTACTGTTTTTTCTAAATATTTTATTGTTATTAATATAGAATGGCTTTATTAAATATAGAATGGCTTTATAACCACACCCCACCCCCAATCTCCAAACACTCACACCCTTACATTTATTTCTTGAATTTCTTCTCCATTACCATCAACGGAGTTTTGATACACCAAGGCTTAAAGGAAGCGGAATGCGGTAAGAGCCTATGTGACATGTTTTACCACAGTAAACATCGTCCCTTCTATCGGTTTGGGTTGTGAAAAAAAATAAGAGTATACCTCTCTCTCTCACTCTTCCTCCCCCTCTCTATCTCTCTCTTTCTCTTTCTTCTTTTCATGGTATACCATTTCTTGTGTGTGGTATTGGAGTGTGACAAAATGAAGGAGTGTGACATCACTCCCTCCCGCCTAATACACCATCATCTTCATATACTAAAATGCCTAAGTTATCACCAGACAATTTTCCGTCTTCTACTACGTCCGTTCAACTTGGTACATTATTAGATCATAAAGATTCACCATTAACACGTTCAAACCCACAAGATAAAGTCTTTTAGTCTCCGTCTCTTTGACCATTGTTAATGTATATAAAAATAAATAAATTGGAAAAGGCAAGCCTAATACTTTATGAGAAACAAGTATTGTATTTACGATACTAGAACATCTCTAAACACTAAAACAGTCACAATTTGATTCAGAGCAAGAGTAAGCAACAGTGGTCTCTCAGATATTTTGGTGGTGAAACACAATGGTGAGTTTGTGTTGTTTCGATCTCAACAGCGGCATCAGTAGTACAAGTTTTTTCGATGTCACTTAACAACGGTAGTGATCAGAGAAAGGAACATGACGGCAATTATATTGTTTCAGCAGTACAAGTTTTTTTTTTATGTTACTTAACGACAATTACGTTATTTCTCAAACTTTTTTACATTTTCATTAATATCCTTTCAATTTACAAGATTTTAACAAATTGTTTAAAATCTTTTTGTTTTGTCAAGTTTAAAATTGGATTATTAAATAAATATAATCCAACAAATAATCCATATAAAGTAATTAAATTTAAGGGAAATTGTCAGAAAAGTCCTAATATTTTTAGGAAAGTTACACTTTAGTCCCAAAATTTTCTTTTTTGAACAAAAAAGTCTCGATTATTTCATTTTGACTCAAGTTTACAAAAAAATCCTTTTTTTCTTTTAACAGGAAATGACATATTATCGTGTTTTTAAAAATAATCGGGACTTTAATGTTCAAAAAAAAATCTTGGGACTAAAGTGTAACTTTCCTGAAAATATTAGGACTTTTCTGACAATTTCCCTAAATTTAATTGTGATATTAATAAAACTAAGATTTTATTAAATAAATATTTTCATTCCTAACATATAAAAATAATTATACACTCTTGTTTATATATATATATATATATATATATATATATATATATATATATATATATATATATATATATAACACCTACATTTAAGGAAATATAACAAATACATTTAAAGAAATAATAAACATTCATGTGTGGGATATCTTTTACACAAACGATAAAATAACGCATTTTATTGATTGAACTGAGATTTTTTTTTTGTTTTGTCTTTGATGTGTATATACCGAGCAAAAATTGTTGATATCAGGTATCTTCATTCGCCATCGTTTCAACCTCTATAATGGCATTTCTCTTACAGCTTCGACTCGTGCATAAAGATCATGTACGTCTTTGAATATCATATTATATAAAATAATGCATGTGTGTTATAAATAATTAAAAAGTGAATTTTAAATATATTTGAAACAATTGTCACATTTAAAATATAACAATACAAATACTAGTAAATACCAAATATATAAAGTCAAAATTAAAACAAATTAAATAAATTAAATATATATATAAATTTAAACTTGACCGACCAAATATGATAAATAAAAGTTAAACTCTAATTATAGAATAGATGAATAATGTAACTACAAATTTAAAATTTATTATTCATAACTTTATATTTGGTTTAAAAAATAGAATGAAGTTGGAAAACACAATTCTATCTTTACATTAAATATAGCATAACTCTACGATAAAATAGGGTTAGATATGTTGTAAGACCTTCAAATCATTCCCTAAGACCAACTTCAATGGACCTCTAAAACACCATTTTAGAGGGTCATTTTCACTCCAATCAACCTTCAAATATCACACCATTTTTGTGTTGGTTCATTTTTTACACCAAATATAGAGGTCAAAAATGAAAAACCTCTAAAAAAACACAATTTTAAAGGTCGGTTGAAATGAAATCATAACTTTTGTGTTAAACCATCACCATTTTTGTGTTTATGGTTGGAGAAGCTCTGAGGATGCTATCATATACATTCTCCATATCAATGTTCTATATTTTTGTATTGTATAAGATATCAGAAGAGGTAGATTGCTTGGATGGTCGTTGACCTCCCACATATGAATCCAAATAGAATTTTAAACACCGCACGGACCCTCCATTGAAGAGTGTGGTATGTTTGTCGCGAGTCATGGTTTTGCCGCACTTTTTTTTCTTTTTTAATTATTAAATCATATATGTATTAAAAAATTATAAAAGTTATATCAAAATTATAGTTTTTAATTCCCTACAAATAAAGTATAATATTACATGTTATTTACCTATATTTAAAATTAAATAAAAATATGGTAAAATATGATATGACACCCACCAATTTTATGGGACTAATGAAAAAATTGATGTGGCATTGCAAAAATGTGATAAATATGATATGAGACCTCAAGCATGTTCTCCCATAAAATGCGTTTATTTGTTTTATCATGATCATAAAAATAAAAAATAAAACCACACCGACATCTTTATTAACCAATGTTACGACCGACAATTAAAAAGTAGATCATAATTGTTACCGGAATTAAGGTATACGCTAATGACCATATAAACACCCACAACATTCAAATGCGTTATATAATTCGTCTTTGATTTTCTTTTTAGTTTTAATAACATGGTTGAGAACATTAATAAGTTTGAGTTGCTATATCATAGTTAAAGATAGAACCCCACGCACACGTGGCTCAAAAACACTACTCTAACAAGTACTTTGAGTTTGCCCCTCCATGAATCAAAGAATATGCAAAAGAAAAAGGATTAAAAAGAATAATTGGCGGCTGCCGACTTAAATAATAATAATAAAAAAATGAATTAGATCTGTAGTTACAGTCTTACAGATATGATGTGAATTTAAGTTAATTCCTTGCCTACAATCGGTGATTCCGTTTCTTCAAAGCGATCTAAATCTCAGATCTCAATGGGCCCTCCCCCTTTCTTTCACCTCAAATTCACATTCTCTCTCATGCCCATGGCAAATTCGTCTTTCCCTACTTTTCAATCTCACTCACGTAACCTTGCTTTGCAGTTGCGCATATTAGCAACAGACTCACTCTCCTCATAACTCACAACTCACAAGTAAGTAACCACCAAATCTTGCGCACATTAGCAACAGACTTTTGATTTATGATTATGAATCATGACTGTTTCCTGTAACCACCATTTGTTCAGAATCCATGTTTCCATTCTGCATTACATTTACAGTGTCAAGCAGTTGAGTAGGGTCAACTATAATTCATAATTATAATCTGTATTATAATAATTATTAATTTATAATTTATAAAATAAAACCCCACCTCATCCTCATGTCGTTGGTTCAAAGAGGGACTCTTTCCCACAGGAGTTGCTGCAACTGCCTTTGACAAATCCCTTAAAGTTCCCTACATATCATCATATTCATAACAATTAACAATTAACAACACACGTTCTTCTATATATATCATTAATATATTTCTATTATACTGTGCAAACCATAACCTAGTTCTTTTTTTTTAATAAAGCAATGTAAGGACGGTTCATTGAATGGATTTTAGATAACCCTATGAAGACACAAAGCTAATTGGTCAACTAAAAAGAAATACTGTAGTTCATTAGTGATTAGGGGGTAGAAACTAGAAAATGAAAAAGTAAAGGGACCCCACCCACAACCACAAGGGAACAAGATGAGCTCACATCACAAGTCACAACCACCATCATTTAATTTAATAATTAATCCCCACCACCATCCGCTAGTGACAGATTCAAAACCTAGTGCTTTCCAAATTAGGTTTTTCTAGTTTTAATACCCTTTTGTAAGCAACTCTTCTATTAATAGATAATAATATTATGGTAACAATTTATGCTACATATAAAGCAATGACTCTTGTCAAATATAATGTTGAACTATACTTTTCAAAGCTCAATGTGGGGTAGTTTTGAAGTTTGTTGGTAAAAATGGTTATAAAATGGACAAATGCATTACAGAATATGCATATCAGCATATGCACTGAATCAAGAAGAAAGGAAGCCACCTTATTTGCCCACATCAAACCACATGCATTACAGAGTGTCCTAGGTCCATCAGGTCCTCTGCGCATCAATGGAGTAGATTTCTCATTGATCCCACAATGCCTACACCTGACAATCACATATTCCCATTCCAAACTCACATAGCATAGCATAATAAATAAAGTAAGAGTTTCTAAAAGGTTTTTTTTTTTTTTTTTTAGCTGGATATATATTATTTATATGGAAGCTGCCTTACGCGGTTTCTTGATGCTGGGAACCACTACCATCCGAGTGCCAACCACCTTGGTTTGAATCCCAACTTGTAGCTGCAGATTCTTCATGAACACCCTTTGAAGAAGTAAATTGCCCTTTATTCCTTTGCATCCTACAATCAAACAATATCCCATTCCCATAAGGCCATACATTTTCAAAATTTCAAATGCAAAATAATCATATATGATAGATATTACCTGAGTGCCACTTCCTTGCGAACAGTGTAACGAATTTTCTTCTCAAAATTCCGTTCTTTCCTCTTTTCACGGAATCTCATCAGTGACGCCAGTCTCTGAGGCACATTTAACCGTTGTGGAATACTGCCCAGATCCTGTTAAAAAAGTAAATTAAAAATATAAAATATACTAATAAAGTAAAAGGTAAACCTGTATCATTGACTCATACATATTACATACCCTGTTACTCTGCTGATAATGGGTTAATGACATGTAAGGCATGCTTGAGGATGTTTCACGCCCACCCAGTAGTAAAAGAACAGCTTGAACCTGATCAATATATAACTTCATTTCTTTTATTACATAACTCATAACTCATAAGTGAAACAGATTCATATACCTTCTCAGGAGAGACTGAATCAAACACATAAACCTGACCCTGGAAAGAGAGTGTAAGCTGGTTTGTATCCTCAATGCTGCCACGTGCCATCATTGCATTATGGTTATCTGATGACAGGTTTCCTGGATCAGACCCAATATCATCCTGATCCTCATTCTGAATCATGTTCCCATTACTTAAATCATGTATCACTTCATGTTCTTGCTCTTGTATGTAATGTGTGTGCCGATGGTATGTTGGATTCTTGTCTGGCATCTGCATTGCTGATTCGTTCTCATGAAACTCGTCCATATCTCCAAACAGTTTTTGTATCCGATTGATTACAGAATTCTGATTAATGAAAGAACATCAATAACTATGCATTCATATCAAATCCAGTATATGATCAATCTTGAAAACACTAGAAACATCAACTTCATGTCTAGTACTTTCCAAATTTCCAATTAAGTTAGATTCCTTCTCACATGTAGCACAAAAATTACCCTACTTCGTGAATCTCATTCTTAAAAAATTAACAAGTCCAATGAGCTTACGAGTGGCAAACAGATATCGGTCGAGGGGAAGGGGGATTGTCGTGATTTTGGCATTTTGCATTCAATTACCAACAAAAGAACAAAGTATCATACAGGAACACTCAAGTAATGTGGACAGTGATACACTTACTCGGCGATCAGGCTAGGCAACTATGGTTACTTTAATACGAGAAAGGCATTTGCAGGATCCACCAAAAGTCTAGCTTTTTTGTTGGTTTTCCTCGGGTTCAACGGAAGGATTTGAAATGGAGCTACCATAGAATTTCAGGACGAAGAGGACAGAAGGGGTTCGAAGATAATTTTTTATGAGAGATTTGATTAGGGTTTCTATTGACGCACCTGCGACTGTTTATGATTTCCCCTTGATGATGATATTGAAAAATGAATAAACAAAATATAAATCAATGTTTAGTTCTTCAACATTATTGGAGTTAATTGACTATTGTTTCTCTGTCAATCAATTTATCCGGTGTGAAGGATAATGTTTTAGGATGTTAAAAATATGAAAATAAGGCCGTCAGTAAACCCGCAACGAAGGGACTCGTGGTCTACGTGGCCACGAGCGTTGTCCGTGCACATCATCCCGGACCTTCGTTGTCGTGGTGATTCGTGGTGGGGAAGACGGAGGACCACGGAGATGCCTCTCTCAGTCGGCCCTCTTCTTCTTCCTCTTTCTCCGTTCGTGCTCGTCACTGGTACACCACCACCGGTTCGTGCTTCGTGTTGGTCTTCGTGGTTGCGTTGCTCGCGACAAGCATTACAGATGACCTAATAATAATAATAAGAGTAAAATACACGATTCGTCCTCGTCAAGTGTCATATTATATGTTTACTCTATATTTTTAAAAATTAACTCGGATCGTCCCTATAATGTTTTTTTCTCACTCGGACCGTCCTCGACGAATATAAAATGACTAAATTACCCTTTCTATTTTTTGCTTTTTTTTTATTTGTTTGTTATGAACAATTTAAAAGAAAAATAAATAATAAAGAAAAACAAATAATAAAGAAAAAAATGGGCCCACCACCATAGACACTTACCCTCTACCCTAATTCTACCCACACCTTTACATCCTTATCATCCATCTTCTTCAGTTCATCTTTGGAGCTAGAGAGAGATGGGTCGCCGGAGTCACCACCGCCATCACTCCACCTATCATCAGTTCATCTTCTTTCTCATTTGTAACACTCGATTTCGAATTGCTTCATTATTCGGGGTCGTGGCCAATCATCTGTCATCATAAGGCTTAGGGCCTTTGGGAAGAAAGGTTTATACCCATTTGGATGTGGGAGATGTTGGTTATGTGATGAAAGGGTCCGATTTGTACTTTAGAGCCCAAGGGTATCGGTAAAGGCGTTGGTTCGAGCCTTTTATGAATTTTGGATTTTAGTTCAGTTGGTTTTCAGGCTAAATAAAGTTGGTAGAAGTATAGAGCTTCTCGTTACCTTTCCGTAGATATAAAGAACGTCAAATTACCACATTGTTATTTGATCTTGTGATATATTAGAACAACATGCTAGTGATAGGCTAGGGATCTTCAGGAATTGCATGATAGAATTGTTTGATTATATGATGCCTGATAGCCTAGGGTTCTTCTTTATATGAAATTGACATCATTACTGTAGTTGCTTAGGTGGTGTTTGTTTTGGAAGTGGTAAAATGTCTTTAGTCTTTTTCCGTATTTGCGGCAGAAGACGTGGACCAAAAGTATTTTTCTATGCCTTCATACAAGAAGTGATAAAGAAGTTTTTTTGAGTTCTTTTGTCTTCCAGAAAACAAACGGTCTTTTTTGGTAAACATCTACCCGCCCGCAGATATAAGTGCCCAAAAAGTCTTTTTGCCAAAAAAAACAAACGAGCCCTTAGTGTATGCATCATAGTTGTACATAACTAAGATTATATAGCCTGAGAATATTTGGTTTGACTTTATTTCATGTTCCTTGTCTGGTTGTGGCTTAGAGTAGGACCGATTATTCGACTGTTTATAGGATCTAGTGTTGTGTATGGCTAGCATACACGAGTGCTGCAGGGTTGGTGGAAGTTTCATGAGCGGGTGCAGTGTATAGAGGGTCAGCGCGAGGAATGATTAGCCACTCCGGGGAGAGTGTGAGCAGGGCGAAGGTGCACCTGTGGTGCGAGGAGTTGAAGATCGAGGATTTTGCATGAGGATATGTCTGATTTTATTGCATTTTAGTGCTAGTCGTCTTCTCTGCTCGAGTGCTACTTGCTTTGTGCTTTGTGGGACCCATGTTCATGGGATTTAACCATCAAATGAATACATTAAATTACATGCTATGAGGGTTAAATAATCTTAGGATAAAGGACTTGGACCTATTACGCAACTCTTGTCTAAGTCCAACCGTTGTAGGGCTGAGTCCTCTAGCTGAAGGATTATTTAAGCCTGGTTGCATGTAATTGTATTCGTGAAGTGGTTAGCTGGCATTGGTAGGGGTTCTTCAGCAGCTGATGGCAGAGGGGGTGTGGGTGAGTGTAGCACCTGGTTCTTGGTATGTATTTTTATTTAAGTATTTTTGCATTTTTGGCCTTGGACTCGGCGAGTTGAAGGACCAACTCGCCGAGTAGAAGCGGGATGAGGCGCGGGATTTAAGTGATGGACTCGTCGAGTCGGGTCCCGGACTCGACGAGTAGGCTCTGACTGGACAAAAACCCTAATCCGAGGGTTTGCACCCTATTTAAACAATGTTATGTTGGCCACAACGTCCCTTATGCTCCCAGAACACCTCTCATTGAAACCCTAGCCGTTATTGAAGCAATCTTAGCCTTGTTGGTGGATTTTGGTGCTTGTGGTCTTAAGAAGGAAGGAGAAAGGCTTGAGGAAGCAAGTAAAGACCAAGGGAACCCGAGTTTGTGCACCTTCTACAGTTCATTGAAGGTAAAAAGTTGTAACCTTGCTCTTTCATTTGTTAGATCCCTTTTTGGGGAGATTTAGGGCTTTTATAAGCCACTTTTGATGGCCAACCATGATTGCAAACATGGTTGGGGGTTAGAGCTTATGAATCACGTCATTAAAGGAGTCACAAGGCAGTTGGGGACTGCTTTTGCACCCAGGAAAGGCCCCATGCATCTTAAGAGCTTGTTTTATGTCTTTTTGAGCTCAAAGTCCCATGCAAGCACGTAAAGTTTGTAACTTTACGTGCTAGATCGATTATAGAAGCTTGGATCTATCTTTTGATCAAAGGTTGTACATCAGAAATCAAGGATTTAGAGTGTGGATATGACTGACTCGGCGAGTCCGTTCTTGGGACTCGACGAGTCCGAGGCTTTGAGCCCCATATCTGTTGAGAGTCAAAGGAACCCAGTTGAGTGTTAGAAGGGTTGTAATCGGACAGGAAGAGTTACCCAATGTATTGGACGTGATTTTAGACCTGGAGTTCATGGGACTCGACGAGTGCTAGAACAGACTCGGCGAGTCCAAGGCAATATTCTTAAGGATGAAGATGAACTCGACGAGTTGTTCATCAACTCGGCGAGTCGAGGACAGAACTTGTTCATCAGATGAAGGTGAACTCGACGAGTTGTTCATCAACTCGGCGAGTCGGATGAGTTTCATGCGATGTTCATGTGAGGGAGGAACTCGTCGAGTTGACGGCCCAACTCGACGAGTCGGGTCATGGATAAGGACGAGTAAAGGGTGAGGGACTCGGCGAGTTGACGGCCCAACTCGGCGAGTCGGGTCAACTTGAAGTTGATTTTGACTAGACTTGGAATGACCCTGTTTAGGGTTGTACTTGCTGTGTGTTGACTTGAAGGTCGTCGTGTAGGGATCGAGGAGTCGAAGGGAGTCGACTTGTGCGCCGAGGATAATTCAAACACTGCACGACATTGAGGTGAGTTACCTTCCAGTAGCGGTGGGTCTACGGCCACAATGCCGGCCCACCAGTATGAGTTGGTGTAGATGATTGTCTTTGTGATAATTGTCTATGTTTGCTATGTTTGCTACTACCTGATATGTTTATGTGCTAGCATGATATGTTATATGTGATAGTGGTAGTAGGGGGAGATCAGTCCCCAAGTTCGGTCGTTAGGACCGACGGGTAGGTCGGGCACCCCAGAATTGCCTGACAGTATGTTCATGCTATGATATTATGTGGTAGTAGTAGGAGGTGAAATAGTCCTCGGATGTCGGGTGAAATAGACCGAGGGGTAAGTCAAGCACCCCAGAATGGCCTGACCTGGGTAGTCAGGCACCCCAGAATTGCCTGGCAGTATATGTGTGTTATATGGTAGTGGTAGGGGGTGAAATAGTCCCCGGTAGTCGGGTGAAATAGACCGACGGGTAAGTCAAGCACCCCAGAATGGCTTGACCTGGGTTCGTCAAGCACCCCAGAATGGCTTGACCTGGGTAGTCAGGCACCCCAGAATTGCCTGACAGTATGTTATTGTATGGTGTGTGGTACGATGGGGGAACTCACTAAGCTTCGTGCTTACGGTTTACAGTTTTGGTTTCAGGTACCTCTTCAGCGAAGGGGAAAGAGCTGGCGCGGTAGCGGCACATCATACACACACGCATTGATTTTCCGCACTTGAGATATTCTGGGATTGTACTATGACATGTTGCTATTATATGTTTTGGGTTTTCAGACATGATACATTGATTCACAAAATGATATATTGTTACGCAGTTTTCTTATGAATGTTTTATAATCTGTTAATTAAAAATGAATTTTTTTTTGGACTCGAAATTTGGGATGTTACAGTGAGTCCTAGGATAGCCTATGAAGTATTTAGTGCGGTTGTTTCGCCGAGAAGCGGGTTTCAGGAGTATTTTGTGACTAGGACTTAGAAGACCCGAAATAGTTCTTGAGGAAAGTATGGGTAGGTGTGGAAGGTAGTATTGGGCCCGTACTACTGGAAGCACATGATCCATACTCGAATCAAGGAGGGTTTCGGGAATTCTAAGGGCTGGTCGGGGAAGGTTGCATGGTTAGATACCATGATTCGTGGCAGTGTTTTCGTTCATGCCGGACTTTTGGTTGTGACTGCTCAGGCGGGAGGATGGTTTTGGTATTTGTTTTGGGCCCTAGTGGTGCTATCGATTTGGGTTGTTTGGTGCAACCTAGTGAGCTTATTGGTTCGTGGCCTCGGAGATTTTACTCGAGGTCGGGTATTCGAGTCGCGAGACTCAAGAAGGGGGAAGTGATCATAATCGGCTTGGGTTTTGCAGCTGGAAGTGGGATGGTTGATTGATGGATTGGAATGTTGTTACCCGTGTCTAGGGTTATGTCCTTCTAGTTTTT